GGGCTCAGGCAAAGCAGAGCTGGCGTTCACCTTGCCCACCTTTAACGCCAACTGTGATTCTTCCAAGTAACTGCGATATTTTCTGTAGGTTTTTCATCCATGTTTGTGGACGTAGATAAAGTTTTTAATCTCTACAAAATTGTGCTCATTCTTTATTGCTCCCAAGTATAGTCGACTCTTGCCTTCATTGGTTTAATGATGGATGTGGGATGCGTAGATGATGTGACATTTACCCAGTGGAGGTTCTCCAGTCCATACTAGGGAAAAAGGTAGTAGTGATAATATAGAAGGGAGAGCAAAAGTTTCTTCCTGATTCTAAGTTGGCACACTCTGAAACGTTTTCTGACACAAGCCGACTTCTGTGGGGCTCCCTTGAGCAGGAGTGGGGAGAAATGCCCACGATCTTTATCCAAATCCTCCCTTAGAAAATTGAGAGCTAAGATGTTACCAAAAAAATAATAACCCTTCTTGAAATAAAAGTAATACGGACTCACCCATGATTAAACTAAACATGCCTTCTGGTTCGTGAAGAATGAAGACAGAATGAAATACTGCAGTGTTGAGCACGCAAAAGTAAAGGAGTCCAGATTTTACAAAATGACCAAGAACACTAGGTGCTCTTTTGGTTTTCAGTTTAGTCTGAAGTGTGAAACACACAGTTCTTAAAAAAAAAACCCAACCATAGACTCTTATCTTCATTCCAGTTAGCTGCCTCACTCTTAAACCCTTACAGTTTACTGTTAATTTTCACTTTAAACTTTCTTAACAGGGTGCAAAAAATAAACTGCCTTCTGAACTTGGTAATCCACAAAATATTTCAAAAGACATGGGACTAGTTATGTGTCTAAAAATAATTAATATACTAAGAAAAGTGATGCTGGAAGAATTAACTAAAAATAGTTTTTCAAGTCTGAATGGCCAATAGAACGATGGGGAAGAAAGGTACAAGAACAAGAACGCCTTCCTGTGTCCTCCTTTCTTCCCCTTTCAGACCCCTTTTCGGGGGAGAAAGGGGAAGAAATCCCATTGCACAATTCGGAACCGTGGAATGTGCACACTTCCAGCAGGGGCGAAGACGAGTATTTTTGCTTCCATCTCCCTTTCTCTGCTTACAGCAGCATTCTGGGTTGGGTTTTTTTTTTCTGTTGTTGTTTTGTATTCCCCACTAAAAAAAAAAACCAAACCAGCAAGTAGTCTGGAGTATGAGTGTTCTGCTTAAATTGCTGATTTGAAAACTCAGGACTTTATTGGAAAGGGGTTTGTTCTGGGAGTAGATCTGGCCAGTGCAAAGCCAGTGGGTGGCAGCAGGGAGAAGTGACTGGTCAGGTGGCAGGGACCGGGCTAGTAGCCTGTTCTAGAGGTCGGGGGTGTCTGTGTGTGGCAGGAATAAAGATCTGAGGGGCAGAGAAAGCAAATGACTTGTCCAGAGTTGCACCAGGAATCCGTGGTGAAGGAGGGCTAAATGCCAAGACAGGTGCCTGGTCTAGCAAACGAACTTCTCTTTTTTTGTTTCCCCTCTCTTCTTTAGAAAGGCCATTTTTAGCTGTGGCAACTCACTGAGACCCTAGCGAAGATTATTATTAATTTTGCTGTGAGATCATTGCAAATTTGTGAGCTTTCATTTTTTGGATGCACAATGGATTATTTGGCTTTCGTATGCATTTACTTTTCCTTGTCTTCAAGGTGTAGCATTCAGCAGTTTTGCTTTTGCAAAAACACAAGACTGCAGCTTCTTTCTTCGTGAAGTTCTTCCTACTGCGAGCAACATTTAATTTTAGTTTTTAGTGGCTGGGCTTCATTGCCGGAAATGACCGTAGTGATTGAAGTTCCTCATAGCCCGAACACAGAACTGACTTGCAGCTCGGTGCGCTCAGGAAACGCTTGATCCCATCTGTGGGGACTTTCAGCACTGGGAAATATGCAGAGCTCTGGCGCTCAGGAAGACACGGGCTTGCAGCCCCAGCCACCTCCCGAGGAGCAGAATTACGGAGCTACTGCAGCACGTGTGGGAAAAGCCCCATTCCTGTTTGCATCAAGGCGTGGTCCAGCAAAGAGAGGTTACCTGATAGCTGCTGTGCTGTGCTATGCGAATTTAATAAATTTTATGGATTGGTTCACTGTGCCAGGTGAGAGCCTATTTTCTCTTTCTAAGGAAAAAGAAATTTAAGTTCTCAACAGCTCTACTTACTCTGTAGTTACAAATGTTTTCCAAAGTGAGGATGTGCTTTATGTCTTTTTACTCTTTCTCACTGATCTGCTTTAGCCTGTTGGTCATACTGTTAATGAAACTTCCAGCTATAAATCTTGAGAGACCAATAAATGATGTATTATTAGTGGTTAGTAGAATGCTTATAAAAATCACATCTGTTAAATGCTTAATATTCATTAAGTTAAACAGACTTTAGCATACAGAGCAACTAGTCTATTTTTGTGTCTGGATTCTGCAGAGATGTGACTAAGAAGCTTCCCTTTATTGTATACAGCAGCTTACCAGGCCTTTTTAGGATCTAGTAGATCAGATGTGGCATTCCTTTATCTGAAGAATAGATTAAAAGTAGAAAAATAATGCTGTCTTTGTGAAGGTTGTTTAGGGGAGGCTTAACTTCCTCATGGAAATTGTGTGATTTCTGCCATGTAGAGTGTAACATGGTTGTGTAAAGAGAATCGAGACCCACTTCCTTAAGCATCACCAACCAAATTTACAACTTGTTTTCTCATAAATAATATCCTTCTTTCAAAATGTGATTTTTTTAATTACTTTTTTTTTTTTACCTAGCCATGAACAGCAAAGCATTGCTTCCCGTAAATGGGTGGGAAATCTATGTGAATTGTGGTCTGTGTAAATTCTTCTGTTTAGCATGACCGCTAAGCATCTACCACGCTTCCAGGGATCTGATTTATGAATTAGGAGGAAACACTTGTTGTGAGCTTCCTATATTTTACTTCTGAGTGTCACGGAGATCATAAATGTTTTAAAACCTTGAAAAAACCCAAAGGATGGATTGTTAAATTTGGAATTAATATCTAGTGACGGTACACAAACCAATTATTTTTACTACTTAGATAATTGAGAAATTGAAGACATTTGGTCAGTATCTTTAAAAATGTAGAGGCTAGTGGGTTAGGAGTTTAAGCTTTTTTCTTTTGAATACTTCTTAATCACACATATGGGCAGGAGAAAAGGAGTGCATGCTGAATGATATTACCAGACAGGCAGTGAAAAACTTCGATGTATGAGTTCTATTGTCAAGTAAATTTCCCTGGAGAAGGGCAGGAGGCAGGAGAGGCTGAAAATACCTTTGAGAAAGAACTGGGATGCTAGGAGGGTACACGACTGGAAGTATGAAGTGCAAGCAGTCATTTGGCTCGTTCCAGGCTTTGAACTATTCTTTGGCTCCTGTACATGCCAAGACCTTAAAATTTTCAGGAAGGCCTGTGAAGTGAAGCTTGCCTACTTGCTAACATGCTCCGTGGCTTGTGAGTGAGGTGCCTTCAGGGACCCGTCAGAGTTCAAAAGCAGAGGTGAGGATAGTGTCCAGCCTTTGGAATATCAACATCTGCTTTAATTACAATATATGACTAAACCACAGTTTAGTTAACTCTGTGAGCTCTTGGGCTGCGGGGAGATCCACAATCGCGGTTCATACCACAGCAATATACTGTTCATCTGCTACAATTCAGCGGCACTGCAGAATTCTTCCATCAGCACTTGTGCGTTTGGCTGTTCATATGTGTCAACGTATTTTAGAATGTGAGTTAACAGGAAAGTGAAGGAGGAGAGGCTCGAGAGTTTGTTTAAAAGTTAGCTGGTGGCAGTTATGAAGTTGTGGTTTCCGGGCAGTTTTGCTCACAGGCTTTGACAGAGTTTGCATCAATTTTCACACAGAAAACAAGCTCTTCCACTTAATTGTCTGCTGGAATTGAGTCTTCAGTTTGTTAAAAATGGGGATCGTGCAGACTTTTCCCCCTGTGGTCTGTTACCCTATTCCAAGCTGTTCAGATCAATGCTTTATAATTTGCCAGTAACTGGTCAGGCCAGTTATTTCAGTTATGTGGAGAGGATAACATTTTAATGGTACTCAGTGTGGAAGTTAGAGATGAAGTTATGGTTCAGTCAAGTCTTGTCTTAGCTGTGATTAGTTCTAAATACTCTATTAGTCCAAATTTGAAGTTCCTTTAATAAAGTATTTCTGTGTGTTAATAATCAGCTACCAGAAAGAACAGATAGAATTGATTGCCCTGTTTTAATGACGCAAAATGTTCGAGTGAAGTCACTGACTTCAACTTCTGAGACCATTAGCAAAACTCTAAATGCAAAATATGTTCAAGAGTCATTGAGAAACAGCTAGAAAACCTCCAGTGCTGCTGTTAGGCTTGACCTTGATCTACACCGACTTCACGTCACATCAGTAAGTAGTGAGGAGACTGATGGTGCTGCAGCCGCAGCGACTGTGGGAGAGCAGGGATTTAGCTTTACACTAGCTGGCTCAGGAATGCTTCTAAGTGGCTGCAGCACCGTAGTATATGGTGTAACACGTAAAATACACTGCAGGAGCAGAATAGGTGCCGCTTGCTGACCTCACCCTGAGTTCTGTGCTGCTGCAGATCAGCTTCTGTGAACATAGCAGACAATTTACTCGGAATTTGTCTTCTCAAGTGGTGGCATCATCCTCTTAATAATGTTTTGATATTGACTATTTTAGCAAAACTAAAGCTGCATGGAAAGAGATTTCTTTTTTAATGGATATCTTTCAATATCATAGTAAAGGTATGCTTATGCAAAGCAGTATCTTCTGCTATTTTTAATTTTCTTTTCAGGAATATTATGCAGAAATGCAAGATAGGTGAGGTGGTAGATCTGTAGCCTTGGCATGATGTAGAGATGAAAATGACCTTTCTGTCTCAGCAGCATTCATGCATGCATGAGGTGCCAGATCCATGGATCTTCCCTCAGTTGCTTGTGTGATTTTCTTCTACACTTCTTGACAACTCTTCTAACCTTTTTCCACAGCTATTGAACAGTTAGAAATTGAGATGGAATTTCTGTCAGCCATTTGTTACAAATAGACATGATCACTTTTGGTGAAGTTTGTCTGTCATTGTCACCGCTAAAAATGCTAATTTGTAAATCCACAGTTGTCTGTATCGCATCTGATCTCTGCAAAATTGTCATGGAAATATGAACAAAATTCCACGGTCGGAACCATGATCTGAATTACAGCAGTATTTCCCTGGTGATGGGCTGATTTAGCCACCATTGGCTAATGAAGAGTAGCCATTTGCATCCTGAAAAATCCAATGTGCACTCGTTTGAATACTGTATATGCTGAAAATATTAACAGTTACTCTTAACAGAAGGAATTTCAACTCATCTTAACATTTGAAGGTCATTAAGAAAATTTTCGGATTAGCTGTATGACGATAGCAATCTCCTGTCTGGAAAACTTTGTGAAACAAAACGAAATGCAAAACAAACCCAAAAATGTTTCGTTCCACATTGTGTCCATTAAACTTTGAACTGTAAACTGTTTATGTGCTTACTTACTAATGGTGCAAAAGAAACAGAGCAGTTATGATTGAAATAGTGGGTAAACTGGCTCTCGTAGGACCTATGTAGTGGAAGATCATGAATTTTATCTATAGTGATAAGAATTTTTAATTCTCTGGGTATCTGTGCTTGTGGTAGAGTAATGTTTTACAGGTAAACTAGCAAGCTGAATGTGCTGCAGTTCTTGCAAGCCCTGTTCTTGAAATAAATCTTTGAGTTTGCAAGTGACTGGAATTACAAGGAAGGAGAAGGGTACTTCGCTGTCATTCAGTGTTTGACTCTGTTGCAGGGATCCTGTTAAATATACAGAAATACTTCAAGCTTAGCGATGGGGACACAGGTCTACTGCAAACAGGTAATAAAATCTCTTAAGTTCAGGTAGTTTACTTTGCCTTGTGTTCCTAAAACACAGTCTAGTTCGTTATTTCTTCTAGTTGCTACTCGTGTGTGGTATTGCTCACACCCACTTGTAGGCAGGCTGACTGGAATGCAAAACTGAAGGTCTTTGGTTCAGGGAAGACGAGATGAGTCCTTCAAAAATCCCACAGTGTGTGAATCACAAAAGATGAAGGGATTTCTCAAGAAATACAGAACCTGAGCAATTCACACATTTTATTTATAGCTTGGGGTTTTTTTGAATCTGCATTCATCTTTTTCTAAATATCAATCTACTTACTAGCTTTACAAACTCAGCCTGCCTTTAACCCATGCCCTAAAAAATAACCTGAGTTTGTCTGAGGGCTGAGGAATACGTACAATAAAAATAGTTTGACCGATTTTATCTTTGCTCCTTGTTGGATTTCCAGTCTTCATCTTGTGTTACATGCTGGCTGCTCCCGTCTTTGGATACCTCGGTGACCGGTACAATAGGAAAATCATCCTTGGAGCTGGTATTTTCTTCTGGTCTGGTGTAACACTAGGCAGTTCATTCATCAGTGAACCGGTATGTTGCTTTTTTAGAGGGTACGATGAAAATTGTCGGCATACGTCTTGCAGGAGTTGATAGAGTTGTTCTCTGGTCACATTTGGAAAAGCTGTCAGCGAGCACTCACTCCCCAAGCCCGGACTAAATGGAATTTGTGCAGGGATGCTTTATGTGATTGCGGAGTCCAGCCTAGGCAATGGAGAACCCACATGTTACAGTTGCAATTGATGGGATCTTATTTTTGTTGTGAATGTTTGTTGATTATGACCTCACAGTGCAGCAGCTTGTTCAGCAAGCTTGTGGTCTATCGACCCTATCCCGTAATTCCCTCTGGGTGTCACTCTAAGAAGTCACTACTGTGCAGAAAGTAGAAAGCACAGCAATGGGATGTGAGGGAAGCAGATATGTGTGGTGGGAATACAGACATATGCAAGAGGCAATTGAATCCTTATTTCCTCTGGTGCATTTGATCCACTAAATGTACCTCTTCAGTAGTAAATAAATAGCTTGCTTTCTTGTATGGGTGTTTTTTTTGGACTATAACATGTCTTTTGCCTGCAGTATTACTGGATATTCTTTCTTTCGCGAGGACTAGTTGGCATTGGCACAGCCAGTTATTCCACGGTAGCACCTACCATCATTGCAGACCTGTTTGAGGAAGGGAAAAGGACCACAATGTTATCTATCTTCTATATCTTCATTCCAGTGGGAAGGTTGGTTTTCTTGCTAGTAACTGACCTGCCTTTTGAAATTCTCTCTGGTCACACCTGCAATTCAATATACTATGAGCCTTATTAGACATAGTTTGATGTGTATCTGCATTGGCTCTCGCAAATGGATTTGTCACTTGCTTAGCACGTTTGATTAGAACTAGTTAGGCTTATTTCTGTGTTTGCCTTGAAGAAAAATTTGCTCTTTTCTCCCAACGTTTTTTAGGGAGAATCTAAACTCTGAAAACCAGTAGGCTTTAATAAAATATTGAATCAATTCTAGGAGAAATATGTGCATGGGGTAGGTAATTTATTTCTGGGTTTCTGGGTTTTGTCTTCTTGGAAGACAGAAGCTTTCAAATATTTGTTTACTTGACAAATTGTTCAAGAACCCTCCACTAAATATCTCCCAAGGAAGAACTGGCACTTCCCTCTCCTCTCTTAGTTAAATCGACATTGTGTCTGAAGAAGAGCTGGAGATGGGCTTTTTAAGTGGTTCGGAGGCATACTCTTTGTTAGAGCAGGCAGCCAAGGCTGAGCCTAGAAGGCAGACTAAAACTAAAGAAATTCCTGCAGGGCTTAGTTCATGTGGCTAACACAGAAAAAAAAGTGAATAATAAACTGCTTTATGGGCTGTCTGATCTGGGTTTGCAGTTTCATTCTGCAGAATATGTATTCCAAGGGGAATCTGGACATTAATGCCACCATCTCAAGTCTGCTCTGAGGAGGTTAGACTCCCTTTTTAATGCTGGCTGGCAAGTAGACTAGCACAGATTGTGAGGGTTGTTTCTGTTCATCCATTTTGAAAACTATGATGGAATACTTCTCTGTGCTATCCTTGGTTGGCAAGACATGTCATTTCAGACAGCAAGAATTCATTGGTGCCTACTGATTATCCCTTTCTGTTGCTTACAGTGGTCTCGGTTATGTCCTAGCAGCCGGCATGGCAGATGTCACAGGTGACTGGCACTGGGCATTCAGGGTGAGTTATTCACTTTCACTCATGGGGCTGAGCCATTCACTGTAAAATCAGAATAATCACTGGGGTTTGGATTACTTGCGTTCATTGTGGTAAAAGAGGCGAGCAGTGGAAGAACTTTCATGAACTCGGTGTTTAAGAGAACTCCCTGCAGGACAAGTGGAAGACGTGTGGCTAGCTCTTGCAGAATGAAAGCAGGCATAGGTGATATTGTGCAGCAGGCAGGGCAGGTGCTGATGTTCCTTTACCTGAGGACACATTTGGAATGGTTGTCAGTGCACCAAGACCTCCTCAAACAGAGGAAACTGAATGTAAAATGCTCATTATACTGGTACCACCAGTATAATTCTTCAGGAAAATACAAAGAGATTGTTTTCTGAGATGCTGTTGGGAACAACTTCTATTATTTGAGGGTTTCAAGAAAAAAAACACTCTTCTGTTCTGCTCATGTTATCATGATGTCTCTCCACACTGAACACCGAGTGCTTTGGAAGTGCTTTGTCAGATCCTCCTAACTTATCTATAAAATTAACGCAAGTATAGGATGAGTGGGGAAAAGTATTTACTGGAATAACAGTCTGATGTTATTCAGATAACAATGATGACTGCATCAGTGATTCTTGCATTTGCGGCCAAAGTTCTATGGTACAGTTTTCTTTCTTCCTGTGTTTTTCTCCAAAATTGGAGGGAGTGATCATGTATCTGTATGATGGGGAGGGAGGATCTATTGTCTTTCCTCCAAAGCCACCATAAATCACCAAAGTCACTCTTTTTCTTTACAAATGTGACCTACAAACAGTAAGTCACATCTATTTCTGAATATATCTGCAATTCTCCGATATGTAATTCTGACACTGAATTTGAATTGCTTCAGAGTTTTCACTAGAAAAAGAAAAGAAAGAAAGGTGTCCTTGATCTAACCAGCCTTGTGTCTACAGATAACTCCTTGCATGGGAGGTATAGCACTGGTTCTTCTGGTTCTACTGATCCCTCACAGGACCCAGAGGAAGACAGCAGCACACAGAGCACTGAGCATCTCTGGCACAATACGGGTAGCAGCCGAGAAACCAGGTGTGCAGAGAACTGCTAAGACGACTTGGTGTCAAGATGTCATATCGCTGGCCAAGAAGTAAGTGATTTTAGCAACAAAGGTTCCCTCCATCGAGAAATGACCATTCTGTTACTAGAAATACGACCACCAAACCCTGCTCAGCTCCTTTGTGTCTCGTGCTGTATACGAGATGATTGAAACACCACTAATAAAACATCTCTCGCCCACTCTTTTACAGGAATGCTATACAAGAGATCAAAAATTTCTTTGCTGCTGCTATCCTCCCATTTTGAGGAGGAGGAAGGAGGCAAAGTTAAGATGGCAGTGTGCTCCTACTTAAATCCAACTGGACTTTCCACTAAGTTTCCCCTTCCCTCTTGCTTGAACATGTAGGGTAAGCTAGGTTGGTAAAAGTGTCTATTTTGCAGGTGTAACTTTATCTGTCGTTCTCAGTGCCTGAGGGAGGTCAGATCAGCACATCTCAGGCAGTCTCGATGTGGCATTTGTGAGCCCCTTGTGCCTCAGACGCAGGAGTCTGTGGGACCCAGTATGGTTTATAAGGTACTGGTCCGTGTGTTTTGACCAGCTAACCTGTGGCTGGCAGATGGCCTCTTCCTTTAACCACAAAAAAATTAAAGCCAACACCAGCTGACCTGCAGGACAAAGGAAAACACTGGCGGCAGCAGGTGTCCCACTGCCGGTCCCCGCAGCCCGCCAGGGCGCTGCCCGGGCCGGCGGGCAGAGCTCGATCCAGCCGGAGAACGGCAGGTGCCGCTGCGCATCTGCGGCAAAGCCGCTTCCCGCGGTCCCGATAAGTGCTTTCAGCGTGAAGACTTGCTTTCCTGGGACCTCGTCTGTCTTTGGAGTGTTCTTCTTCTAGAGCATGCAGCGTTTTCTAATCGAGGATTAGATTTGCATCCTGTTTGCATCCAGAGCAGCAAATACATTAGAGATCCAATTTGTTGAATCACAGGTTGAAGGCAGTAGTCTGACATGAGTAAAAAATGAACCTTCCTCAATCAAAAATGAACCTTCCTGACATTTCAGCTAGACTAACATGAAAATTGCCTTCCTACAAAGATGTTCCTTATAACCTCCAGCAATGTTGTTAATAGTAGATTTTAATTTTCTATAGCTATTGATTTCCAAAGCAGAAAGACATACTGCCAAAAAACAGGTGGTTCCACTTTTCATCAAGTCCAAGAGCCCTTTATCTTTAGAAGATGAATTAGATTATTATTTTAACAAATCCTCTAGTCTGGTGGTCACCTGGTCATTTGCAGCACTTTTATTTAGTCTGAAGATACTTTGAGGTCAATACCTCCCTATCGACCTCAAAGGAGACTTTAACTAGTAAGAGACCAGTAAAAGGTTAATTTTCTCCTAGAATAGGGTAGGAAGGAGACAAGATTTGGACAGTTTTTAAAAATGCTTCTCCTTTTGTCTGAAAACTCACTGTTCAGACTGAGCATCTGTTTTTACTTACTCAGGTAGAGTTAAGGAGTGCTTCAGCTGCTGCATCTTAACAGTTTGGAAGACCCAGATGTTACTCTCATTTATACTGGTTGCACAAGTAAAATCATCCTGCGGAATTTAGACTTGCACATAGAAAACTTTCACTTAGCTACTAAGCCGTTAAATTCTTGACCACTCTCTATTGTTATAGTTCTGCTATCAAAAATGTCACAGCAATTGTTTTAGCAAAAGTTGGCCATGAAATCTGCAAGAGACCAGGTCTGGGATTTAACACGAAATCAGCAGGTCGTACTCTTTGCTCTAGTTAGTACTTTACGCTGAAGTTTCTAAATAAATCTTTATCAAAGTTTGTATCTTCAGGGAGTGCACTTTGATTGTAAGATGCTGAATGATTTTTTTGTTATTGCTTGAAATCCTGGGTTTTGCAGGTAGACTTTCCCTTTTTCTTCACACCTCGTTCTTCCTAATATCTCTCATTTCTTTCTTTTGACTTTTAGTTGGAGCTTTGTCTGGTCCTCGCTGGGTCTGACTGCCATGGCCTTTGTTACTGGAGCCCTGGGAATGTGGGTACCACTGTTTCTTTACAGGGCTCAGGTTGTCCAGGGCATTGTACCACCATGCCTCCAAGAATCATGCAATTCCTCTAACAGGTGAGGTGCGCACAACTGTGGAAACACACTTGGAAACACTGCACAGTGCTAAATCACGGTTGGTTTCCAAAGGCAGAAGGTAGCATGTGACTGTGAACCTTCTTGTGAAGGCAGTTGGGTGTGAACATTAGACCAAATTGCTTCCAGGTATGCTGAGACACTCTGTTTGTCAGCTGGAAAGATGCTGCCAGCCCTATTTAAGTAAAGTGGAAAGAAGCAGTAACAGGAACACTCGCAGGGGGAAAAAGGGAGCAGCTTTAGCAAGGAGACTTCAGTTGACAGTCGGCTGCACTCCAAGCTACTTAAATAACCATTCCAGTATGTTTAGATCCTGTGTTTTGGTTAACATTCCTATTACCTTCTTGTTAGTCTGGCTTAAAACTCTTGCCCTGTTGGCCAGGCCATTGTGAATCCCAGCATGAAGCAAACCTGATGAATTTGATCTAGTATTATATCATTACCTCCAAACAGGATAATTTGGTCTTGTGAGTAACTGCTGGCAGAGCTCCAGTTACAGAGGCTGTCCAGACCAATAAAGATTCGTGAATAAGTATCAAATGGTGGATGGGCAAAGGGAATTTACAGCAGGAGAGGACTTTGAAGTAATAATCATCATACAACTTTTTAGAGATCACTTTTCCCAAGCTAGGAAGAGAATATTTTTCCTTACAATGTGTTCTCCAGAATAGAAGAATATATTCGGTGTTCCTCTTGAGTCTTTATGGCTACCCTCAATAACAGTGAACACTGCGATGCTTCTCTTCTGTGTACTGACTCCCTACTAGTGGCCTCCATACAAGTGTCCCTGCCTTTCTTCTGGAGGTATCCCAAGTCTGGTTTCAGCCCCTGCCATCATGATGGATTTTCAAGAACTAACTGCTTACTACATTGTCTTTCCAGGTAAAGACAATTAAAGGCAAAAGGAATAATCATACCCTGAGTGCGTCTTCTGGTAATTGGGTTCTTTTGCTTTTCTGCAGTAGAAAGACAGAGCCAACTCAAGTAGTTTCTGAGTTGTAGTGTAACCAGATGGATTGAACAGTCATCCACAAGTACTTCAGTGGGAAATGTGACTGCCCTTCCTTGGATGCCATCACTGGCACATTACTTAATAGTAAATAATGCTGAGAAAGGGTGTGAACTCAGGCATCCAGCTCAGGGTAGGTAGAGAAGGGAAGCTGAACATTTTAAACAGTTTAAACTGTTCAGCTGTATCTGTTAACAGATCTAGTTTAAATACTTCCTTTATAAAGCTGAAGGTGTTAGCCTATGTTTTGTCTTCTAATCCACTTGAATATTCCACAGTAGCATTGCTAGAGCAGACATGGTCTTCAGGGAAGTAAAATGGAGCACCTGATAGTTTAACCTCATGTACTGCTTCTTACAGGATGCTTTAAAAATAACCTTGCCATCAGCTAGTGCCAGGAGCAGCATAAGGCTGGTTTTAGACTGTTATTCCACGGGGATGTAAAGAAACGTAATATAAACAACAGTGTCAGGCCTGTAGCTGACAGTACTGGGAGAACTGAGCCGCAGGTTCCCAGACCTGCTCAGGGATACTTTCAGGACGTTTTCCCCTCTGGCTGTTCAGCAGTTGCAGGCTTTGTTTAGGGATCAGGGCCGTGTCACTTAGACTCCCTGGAAACACAAATTCAAGTGGCACCACAGCTGACTCAGGCCTCAATCCTTTCAAGGTAGATAAATAGGCAGTATGAAGTTTTTATTCAAGTCTTTGTGCAGACACTTTTGAACAGATCAGACAGATAAGCAAGCGTTCTCAGACCCTAAAAGATCCCATAGCAGCCTTTCCCCAGGACAAGGCTTCTGTACTTTCCTACTCCCTGTCAACGGAATTGTGCTTGGATTTAGTTTTGGCTGTTCCCTTTTCTTCCAGCGCTAGGTTTACTTCAACAGCAGTTCACAACCCATGAATTTCTAAACACAATTCCATGAATACTCCGATGAACTAATGTCACCTTGGAACTTGCCTCTCCTGGAGAAATCTCTAAGATAGATATTCTGCCTAGTGACAGTCTATATTGCCTCTATCAGGCTGTAGTGAGTGATGGATCAGAATCCTGAAGAACTTAAAGGGAGAATACAATGTGCTTAAAGTTTGTTATCTTGTATAGCAATACCTTTTTTTCTTGTAGGATTATTGAGTTCTTCCTAATCAGCCAGAAATAAATTTAAAAGTAAAGGTACTGTAGTTTAAAGGAATAGATCATATCCTAGCTGGCTACTTTGCTTTGCAGTTGGAGAAGCTCAGGAAAATGTACGGAACTTACCATGTAACACTGAAATATTTAGGAGCACTTGTGCTCAGAACACAATGCTCCTGTCCCCATTCGCCCCAGAATTGCAATGCATTAAAGAATCAGTGGCACCACTGGTCTGATTGTAAGAGACTTGCTTTGTCATTAGGATCTCATCTGGGACAGAGAGAAAAGCATGTATGGAAGGTCCTTTGGAAGCTGAATCTTCTAAGCTATTCAAACACATACTTTTAAAACATGAACTTGTTCTTGGAGGACACATTTGCATTTGCAGACACACAAAGCTCAGTGGCATTTGAAATTCTGTGTACAGAAAATGCTACATGGTCCTTCTGCGAGTTAACTCTTCAGTATTCTTTGAACTCTTTTGGGAAGTGGTCGATGTTTCCCACAGTCAGAGAAGTGACTCATCTCAGCTGTGCTAACTACAGGGTTATAACTTAGATGTGTATAATTCCATGTGATAGGATCTCTTCCAAGACTGCAGATTGTGATGTAAAGTTATTCCATGCGTGTTTTAGGGATGACTGAGTGGATTGGTTCACAGGGTAACCAAAATGACAGTGTCTCCTCTAAATCACTGGATATCCAAGCCAGGTCATACTGAAAAGAGTCCTCTGTGAGCCTGGGTGCATAACACCTGCTCTGTAAATGGGAAAATATCTGCTCCATAGGATAGAGCCTCAGTTGCAGAGGCATACCTTCAATTGAGGCTTGGGATTAAATCCATTTAGAAGAAGTGGGAGGGTTAGATCAAGTGGACTAAAATTCAAGTTCTTCATTAAAGATTCCTCTGAGACTAAACGTATAAGCTAACACCAATTTTTTCCACAGTATGGTCTTACTATGCTCAACTATGCTTTGTCACCAGCCTAATATTTGGAGGCATCACCATTGGGACAGGAATCGTGGGTGTCATTGCTGGGGCAGAAGCTGCAAGAAGATTAAGGAAGAGAAACAATAAAGCTGACCCTCTGATCTGTGCCACAAGCATGTTCATTTCTGCTCTGTGCCTCTACGTAGCTCTGATGGTGGCCCAGACGAACATCCTTTCCACTTTTGTAAGTGCTTATCTGTCTTTCACTAGCAAAATGTCTTCTGGGATCCTGGGGAGATAGGCAGGGGGGAGGAGGAGGAGGAGAGGGGTGGCTTTTGCAGGATTCTCTGCAATCTTCTAGGCCATTAAGAGGTTTCGTAGCAAAATGTCTTCTGGGATCCTGGGGAGATGAGATCCTGGCTCAGCCGGCCAGCTGAGCACTGTGCATCTTGCTCTAGTCATGCCCACAGCTGCAGTCTGTCCTGGGAGAGCCATATTGTGCATTACTTGTCCCAGTAAAAGGGGCAGGCAGGCAGAACATTACAAATTGGGCCTCAGGACCTAGAGAGTCCTCCCACACCAAAGAAGAGAATAGTAATCCTATGCGGTTAGCTGCATGACGCTAGAGTGTCCCTTTCAAAAAAACGTATTTCAAGGAAGTCTCAATCTTATGTTAATTTTTAATGTTGTGTGACTAATTTAGTATTCTTATTTATTTTTGCTCTCTGAATACTTGGATTGGTGTACTTGTGACTGTACAATACGCACAGTTCTTGCTAAGAATAATTGAGCCGTCACCTTCAAAGGCCCAAATCACTAGCTGATCTTCAAAGTCAAGCTTTTGGCAATGCAAACTGAAGTATAAATCACTTGAATTCTGTTCTCAGAAAAGGGAAAACCAGAAACTTACTAGGAATGATGAATAGTTCCAAAAACTCTCTGTGAATGTAAACCTTATTTTAACTATAATCTGGTAACAGCTAGGGAAAGGCTCCAAGCTTTTTGCTTGACTCCATAGCCACAATTACCATGATTAACATAAATAAGAGGATCCAAGTAAAGTTAATTACAGTAATCAACAGTTCTCTGCAAAAGGATACTTTTGCAGTTTTTTTGCTTCTAAGAATAACACTCATTCAAAAAGGTTTTCGTTTTGACTCCTCAGGAGTGCGTATTCCTGTGGAAAAATGCCTTTACACCAAAGGAAAAAACAAATGGATCTGCCTGTCTGAGTGTGTGTACAGAAATCAAAATGTGAATTTGGAGATTATTTTTAGATTCAAGAGTGGAGATCGAAGTGCCAGAAGAATTAGCCATTTTCTTTTTCTGCCTCTCAGGTTCCCACACAGTCCCACTCTGAGTATCTTCTGTTCTTTTTTTGTCGTTAAAGGTGTAAACCAGCAGTTTCATTTGGCAGGCTGTGTTAGATGATGGAATCAATATATTGGTTTTGAAGTACCAAAATATACCTTTTAATAGGACTAATGAAAAGAAATTTGTTTAAAACATTTCTCTCCTTCAAAGCAGCATTCTGTTTTCATGCAGTGTGTTATCTGGGAGAAAGTTCTGAACTGGGATATGAATAACTGTGTTCCTTAAGTTTCTTCCCATGGGCAGACCAGTTGGTCTTTTAACCCGAGATTTTGCCATTTTGTCTTTCGTTTGATGTGCTTGATTCAGGTGTTCCAACATGTAATGTCAACAGTGTGCAGTGGTAACAAATTGCGCGTAATCTAAGCACCAGATTCTTCCAGTATTTTTGCCACTACAGCTGCTTAACTGTTGCCTTCTCCAGCACCAGCCATGCCTCTCCTTACTTTCTAAACAAGATCTGACAGTAGCCATACTGGTGTGAGAACTGGAGTGCCGTGCCAGTTGCTGCATCTCATTTGAAGGTCCCACTGAAACAAAGCTTCCATTTGTGTCGGACACTAGCAGGAAGCTGGCTTTCCAGTCACTGTCTACTCAGGCAGAGTGACGTTAGCAAACCTGTCTCCATCACTTCCCAGTGCGGAAGCTACTGAGCCGAGAAGCATCCGTGCATCAGCGTGCAATTACAGTAGCTTCTGCATGGTGCTTTCCACTGTCTTGAGTGGATAATGAAAGGGAACCAGACAGGTTTAGTCATTTATAGCCAAAGCTGGAAGAAATGTTTCCAAGCACAAGAATTCTCATGTTAACGTGGAAATATGGCTGAACTTCTAAGGTTTCTGTTCAGGTAGGTGAACTGAAATGTCATGAGATTTCTTTTCTCTTTCTGGACACCCAGTTCGTGATTTCAAAGACTACCTTTGAAAAGATAGAGAAAAAATAACCTGCTTTGTTATCTCAGAGGAGGCTCTGTCTAAATCTGTTCCTGCCTTCAAAGCAAGATGAAAGATGTGTGCTGCCTACAGTGCAGCAGGTGCTTTGGAAAGTCACGACTGACGCTGTGACTGGGAACCTTGGACAATATTTGGTGTTGCGGTAACTTAGATTTAAACAGACTTATCTTTGATGGCAATGCTGTATCAGGGTGCAGTCTTGCCCTGCAACTTGCCTTCAAGGCAAGTTGAGGCTTTGGGCAACCTAGTGTAGTGGAGGGTGTCCCTGCCCATGGCAGGGGGGTTGGAACTAGGTGATCTTTGAGGTCCCTTCCAACCCAAACCATTCTGTGGTTCTATGATTCAAATGAGGCATTCTGCAGCTCTTGTCTCTGATACACCTGCCTGGTGTGGTTATTTTTGAAAAGACAGAAATGGTTGATCGCATATGGTCCAGCCATACTGATTCCCTACTTTTATGTTGAGGCATGTGCCTCTTTAAAAGCAGAATGTGTGTTTGGCACTGACATTGATTAAAATGTATTTCTCTTCATATTAGCTTTAGGTATGAATGTCAACAGCCATCTATAAAGCAAAATCCCCTTAAAATTTGGGATATTACTCTGGTTGTATCTTTTGGAGACCAACGTAAGTGTTGTCTGTTAAAAAAGTTCGGGATCCTGGAGAAGGCGACAGCAATAAAATATGATGTTTCATTCTTTTCTAGGTACACATAGCAGATTAGAATGGGCATTCCACAAACAGGATTGCATAAATTTAATGGAAACTTTTTCTGTATTAATTAAAAATAAGAACTTGAGACAATATGAGGAATACTGAGAGATGGTAGGAGCAGAAAGAAACGCTTTAAATAAAGCATTGCTCTATTGTTTTCCTGTCGTCCTCAGCCCTTCTCCCTTGCCATGTTCAGTACTTCCAGGATATCTCCACCTGTTTCAGAGAAAAGAATATGCAACTCTCTCCTCTTTAGTCATTGCAGTTGTTCTGCAGTCGGATGGCTTGGTATTCCAGCTATTCAACCATATTGTATTTATTCTGCATGAGAAAGTATAAAATTGATACAGGTTTTAGATAGAACACCTTGATACAATCTGTAGAATGATTTATTACCTTCCATAACTGTCTGGGTTAAATTTTTCTGGTGTCTCTACAAGTGCAATTCACACAAGACCTTAGGAAAGGAAAGAAAAGAAAAGCTAACAAAGTTGTGTCTCTAATGTTAACACAATTCTGTATGAAATAATTACTCTCTGGACTATGAGGCCTTAGCCACTGAATATCACATTTTCTTATCATGGATAATTTTTCATTAATTCCTGTTCCTTCAAACTCTAGGTTGAGAGCATAACTTATTTCCTGAAGATGAATTTTTCTCTCTTTTCTTGCACTAGGCATGACATGCTCTTGTTCTTAGGGGCTTGTAGAAATTAAATAACTGGGAAAAAGCATGAAGAGAAAGGAAAACTGGAAACAACACTTAAAAAGTGCTAAACATCACAAGATTCCTATAAGGAAGATAGACCAATCTCTCATTTGATGTATAAAGACAGGTAGTCCTCTACTCCATTGGTGGTATCTAGGAACAGTTTGGAAGAAGACCCTCCTGCTCTGTCGTCTTTGCATCTTGTTATAGCTCAAGTATCAGCCAGGATTGAAATAAATCTCTTGGTTCTTTGTCTCCTTCCTATTTCACTTCAACCCGTACTCACTCTTGCAAGCTATGGCACGAGTGACAGAATCTACACAAGTTTATGCCGTTGTCACTGTACGGCAGAATTCAACTGCACTTTGACATTTGCTGTAATTCCTCTCTGATACTGCTTTGACTACTTCACAGGCTGCAATTCGAAGTTAAGCAATAGCACATTTAAAGTTTACTTGTGTGGAATCAGGGTGGCAAAAAGAGAAGAAAGTCCTTGGTGAATTGGGGCCTTCCAAGACATTTCAGAGAGTATTAGCTTGAAATAAGATGATGAGTATTTTCTGGTGGCTGCAAGATTTGACATGGTTAGCCCTTACTGCCAGGTGGCTTGGCAAACAGCAGAACTGTGTGTGACATTGTTACCCACATTAACAAACATGTTTCATTTCATGTTTGGCCCAAAGTTCTCCAATAAAAGGTGTGTCACTCGCTTTCCAGCTGGCACTGGCATGTGGCATCGTTTCTGTAGACTAGAGACTGGTATAGCAACAGTCATGGCATTGGAGAAGAACGCTTGCATTCTGTCTCTTGCAAGGGCAAGGTCTGAGAAGGTTGTATCAGTGGAAAGACTTGATAGCGGGATGCATAAATCCAAGAGCTAAGACATAGTCAAGGAGCATATGAAATGAGTGGTATTTATTATAAAACTTAAAGAAAAGTAATTATGTATGGAGGAATAGATTCAGCTGTGAGTTAGAAAAAAAAAAAAAGCATTTTGAAGGAAAAGATGTCTGGATAAACATCTATACTAAATATCTCTGTTCTTCAAGGAACTTTTTCTCCAGACTAGTTTAAGAAGAAAACACGTGAACAGTACAGGCAATAAACACAGAGGAGGTAGGGGTGTCATAGGAAGATGGGTAATAGGTCTGTTCCTTCTTAGGAAAATGTAAGCTACCCCTCTAAAAACGTCGGAGAGTTTGCCACTGTGCCTTTCTTGGGACTGTGTTTTCATTAGCCAGATAGAACATCTTGACCAAGACCTTGAACAAGATGCTGGGACCTGTTGTTACAGTGGATTTTATTTCCTAGGTGCCATCTGACTGTGTGGCCCGTGTCACTAAAGAGATTCTGCCTTCGAGACCTGCTGCAGCTTAATAGCGTAACTTTAATGATTTCTTCAAGTATTGATCAGTCTGTACAGCCTGCTCAAATCTATGTTTGGGGCTGGCTGAAAGGGTTAATCTTTTCTAAGACCACAGGTGTGAGAACTGTTGGGGATCCTACCCCTTTTCCTGATGGCTGGGTCTCCATCTGTGCTGAATTAGGGAATTCCCAACAGGCCCCAAGGCTTTGAGGCTGCCTGTCTATCGAGGTCTGTTTCAGTTTGGAAGTTCTCTCTCTGACGGGGACTTTGGGAATACCTGTACTGGCACAGAGGCGTTGTATCGGTTTCATTTGGAAACCTGAGCAAAGGGAGGTCTTTGAGCACTTCTTAAACCTGTGCCGAATGTTTCTTTTCGTAGGCTCTTGCTTTCTCCTTGCGTTCAGCAGTTCAGTACAACTTATTTGGGAGGGTGGTATATGTTTCCTGTTTTGACTCTTCTGCTGGAGATTTGTGACAAAAGCAACCCACATACCTTCTCTGGTCCCTTCCCCCATTTTAAGATGAAGATAGTGTTTGTAAGCCTAGACAGAGGTGTTTGATTTATAAAGAGGTGGGTATGTACAACAACTCCTACATAGGTAAGCATAGCCAGTGAGCCTGCCTTCATCTTCACAGTAAAGTTCAATATAGTGTGTATAGTCACTGCTTTCTTCTTTTTTGCAGATCTTTATTGCATTTGGAGAACTGTTTTTATCTGTAAACTGGGCCGTTGTGACAGACATCCTGTTGGTAAGTGCTTGTGAAACTATTTCGCGTGTTTCAGCTTTTCTCAGCATGACATTGTTCATAAGCCCGCAGCTTGATGGCCAGAAGGACATCCACCTTCCAGGAAGAGATGAATGAACTCTTACCAAGAATACCCTTACTGGTACCCTGTGAACATTAGGGATGTCATCAAGTGCCACAATGTGCTGCTGTGCAAAGACGCCAGTAACAAAATAGGTGTAGTGGTGCAGCAGTCCAAGCTCATTGCAAGCCCATAAAGGAGATGCACTGATTTGGATGAAACTCATTCCAGTGGAACTACCTAGTGCTTCTGGTACTCACACTAGTTTGGATTTTCTGTACAGCTGTGTTGTTGGATGTCTGTCAGACAAGGATCTGCACCAGAAAAAGGGTCACTTTCTGTCTATAATCAGAGATTTTCTATTTGTGCTGCAAAAGTTTGGAAAGATGATCCAATAGGGAAAGTCAATATTCTAAAGTTAGTGAATCCATTAACAGTTCATCATTCTGTGAACTATTAGAAAGTTTCCTTATTCCAGAGGAATGCTGCCGATAAATTCCAGCACTTGCAAGTCAAATTCATAAGTGGTGCTACACTGCTGAAGCGCTAGGCAAGCGGCGGTGCTTATGAGACTTAACAGTAACAAAAATATCTGTCCCAAGAGGGGAGATTTAGATTAGATCTAAGGAAGAAATTTTTTACCCTGAGGGTGGTGAGACACTGGAACAGGTTGCCCAGAGAAGTTGTAGATGCCACATCCCTGGAAGTGTTCAAGGCCAGGCTGGATGAGGCTTTGAGCAACCTGGTGTAGTGGAGGGTGTCCCTGCCCATGGCAGGGGGGTTGGAGCTGGATGATCTTTGAGGTCCCTTCCAACCCAAACTGTTCTATGATTCTATGATTCAGTTCAATCACTCGGGTCTCAGCTTGCTTAGGGAATGCTGCATCGTGTTACAGCCTTCAGGAAGTCTATTCAGAGCATCATTGCCATATCCTGGATCCATGTAAATCCAGAAGTGGAGGAAGTTCTTGTCTCCTGAGTGACTGACACTCCTTACTTATATTTATTTTAGAAACTTTTGGGTTTAGGTACAAGCAATATTGCATCAGTTGGCAACAAATGGGAAGGTGAAAATTTTGGCAGAGCAGAGCTCTGTAGTGGTGTGTTCCCCAAGCGCCGACGGTCAGGGGGAACGTTCTAAATGTTACTATTTGTTTTACCAGAAAAATTATGGAATTCAGCTGAATTTGTGGATGTCTGCTCATTCAGTGGC